TAATCTATCTTGCGCAAACCATGTGGTGCAGCCTGCGTCGTGCAATCTAATCGGTGCAATCTTCGTGGTGTAATAGTTGCGATGCTATATGTGTGGTTGTAATTGATTCTCACAAAATATTTAACACATTCCATGCTCCGGCAAACATCCCGCCCACCCGCCCGCAATCTCGTTTGCAAAACACATGCGGCGGCCATTGCGATGAATGCTTGGCGTTGGCTGGTGCATCTGTGCGGCCGCGCCAGCCCGCGCATGCACGCGCGCAGCGGCCAGCTACTTTGATGCGACCGACGCGGCCGCGGTGGCGCTGACCGCTGGGCATATCCCAGCGGACACATCAGTGCGAGTCGGTGACTTGGGCGAACGCGGTATCATGGCAATGTCGACAACGGTAGTCACGATGATGATAGTAGCGATGCTGGCGACGATGCTGACAGCGACGACGGCACGACCAGCGACGGCGCCGATGCTGAGCACGCCGACGGCGATGACGTCGTCCTCGCGTCAGCGACACCGGCATGCGCGAGAGTGGCCGCATGGTTTTATGTGACACGGCTCGTGCCCGCCCCAGCACGCGCGCAAGGGCGTTCGAATGTGGGCATGCGGCGCGAAAGGCCCGCGTGGCAGAATTCAATGAAGATGTTGAGAAAAAATATTGCGAAGCCATGTGTTTTTTTATATGGTTTCGGGACACTCGGTTCTCAAATCTTTGCGGAACCCAAGGTGTTTGACAAAGTTCGGCAAGCGCGCGACGACTCGCGCGCGTGCACTTCGCCTTGTCTTTGCCACTGATTCTCGCGACTGCACGCGCGCAACGGCGTTCAAACGATTTCGACACACGCATTGCACAAAGATGTTGGAAAAACGTATGGTTGCCCAAAGAATCGCAAGAACGCGCGCGCTAGCTTTTTGGGGAAATCCTCGTTGCGAAACCATGTGTGTTTTATTTGAGTTATTTTGGACACTCGATTTTGAAATCCTTACGAAACTTGCGGTTTTGATTCGGGATGTCGGCATGCAAGCGCGACGACGCGCGCGTGTGCACTTCGTCTTATTTGTTGCAAGGGATCATTGAAAGCTGATGCTCCTGTTGAACGAAAGCGCGCATACATTTGTTTGCAGGGGATGACGGGGGTGTCGATACCCCCCTGCCTGGGACGGTATGAACTCATATTTAGGATGGGCGATGGGGCAGAATCCTATGCAAATTGCAATATGGAAGAGGAAACGGAGAACCCGGGGGGGGGAAGAATATTATTCCTGTTCAGAAACGAGAATCAAGAACGGCGACAAAGGGGCGACGGGGCGGCGACGGCGAATACAAAGCCGCCAGACCGACGCACCGGCCCAGACGATGGGCGGCGAAGAGGCGGCGACGGCGACTACGTAGACGCCAGACCGACGCACAGGACCAGCTCCTTAGAAGAGAAGTACGAGCCCCTGGGTGCAAGCACTGTGTGGAGAATATATATGCAACTATGTGTATAACATGTCTATATACAATATCTACTACCTATACGACCACCCTTCGGGTGATAAGGAGGTTCGGGGGGGGGAGGAACCAACGTCTCACTCGATCGGTCTCACTATCGATCTCACTATCGATCTCAGTATCGGTCTCGCTCGATCGATCTCCCTCGATCGATCTCACAATCGATCTCACTCGATCTCATCTCACTCATCGATCTATCTCACACTCGATCTCACTCGATCATCATCATCATCATCATCATCGTCCTCATCGTCATCAGCATCATCAGCATCATCATCATCAGCATCATCATCATCATCAACATCAGCATCAGCATCATCAGCAGCATCATCATCAGCATCAGCATCACCATCACCATCATCATCATCATCTCATCATCAACATCATCATCATCATCATCATCATCTCATCATCAACATCAACATCAACATCAATCATCATCATCATCATCATCATCATCATCATCATCATCATCATCATCATCATCATCATCATCATCATCATTATCGCGGGACACCGCGGGACACCGGCGGGACACCGCGGGACACCGCGGGACATCGGCGGGACACCGCGGGCCACCGGCCGCCCGGAAGGGAGACATTTGGTCCGGCCGCGCCTCAGCCACAGGAGACTTTCTTCTCGCCCGCCCACGCAGCTTCGCCTCGCCCGCACGCACGGCACGCACGAACACGAAACCGAAATCGATTTCCCGGTAGGGGGGCTCTCCGTTCCACTTCGATCTCACCCCCTCACCTCCGATATGCACATTTACTAGAACCCTCGGGTGCGCTTGGGTGCTAGCTGGTCGAATGCAGACCGCATTGAAACAACAAGGCAGTCAAGAATAATGAAGTCAACATTCTCTGTTTCCTGCTGCCTCTTCCTCCTTCCTCCTCCTCCGCTTTCATCGACCGGTCCACTGGTGATACGTCGCCAAGCTATGGGCCAGAAACAATGTAGCGCTACAGCGCCATGTTGCACTATGCTATGGAATGACATGATACACCATGCTATGCTATCGAGCGCAATGTCACGATGCAGCATGCAATGCAATAACATGGTAGACTCTACAGTTCGCATTGCATGCTATGCCATGCTATGATGTGAAATGCTATGATTATATATGGGATGACACGCCGAACCATGTCATGCGACGTTTCATATGTAAAGCGACGCTACCGCATTACATGGTATGCACAGACAGGGCATGCCGGGCTATGAAATTCAATGCAATACTATGCCATGCTAGGAGCTGCAAGGCTAGAATAAACAGGACGCCGGCAATGACAACGGGGGTGTGATATTTGCACGGTTTCTCTCTACTGTTGCGCAGAGCAGTACGGTGCTGTTTAATTCATGCGCATTGCAATGCCATAGTACGCAATGCCATGCTAGGCAATGTTAAGTCATGATGTGCAGTGACACTGCTACGGAATGCAATGCTATGGCTTGCTGAGTCATACAGTGATATGCACTGACACGGTTAGCTCTGTCGTGCTGTGCCGCGCCATGCCATGTCATGCAACGCTGCGATGCCACGATAGGCTAGGCGGTCCTTTTCTATGCACCGGTATGTTTTCGAAGCCTCTTGGGGGCTGTTTGGGGTGCTCTTGGGGCCTCTGTTTGGGCCTCTTCGGGGCCTCGTGGGGCCTCTCAGGGGCCTCTTGGGCTCTCTTGAGGGCCTCTTGGGGTCTCCTGGGGGCCTCTTGGGGCGAAAGGCTCGAATTGTCCGTTCGTGTTCCCCCTCTTGGGCCCCGCTTAGGGCCGTTTTGGGGCCCTCTTGGGCGATCTCGGGCGCCTCTTGGAATGTCGCGGGACACTCTTGGGCCGTCTTGGGGCTCTCTTGCGCCGTTGTGGCGCCCTCTTTGGGTGCCTCTTGGGCCGTCTTGAGGTGATTTCTGGGGCCTCGTGGGCTGTCTTGGACCGTCGAGAGCATGAAACAGCGAGAACACGAAAGACCTTGAACAACCATCGAAACAAGATACTTGTTTCGCTTCCTGAATGCATCGTGGGAATCCTTTTGAAGGCATCTTGGCCGTCTTGAAGCCCTCTTGGGCTGTCTTCAAGCCATGTTGGACCAATTTTGAAACGCTCTTGTGCGGTAATTGGGCTCTCTTGGAGCGCTCTTGGGCCATCTTCCATCTTAGCTCCCTCTTGGCCATCTCTCGGGCCCTCTCGCCGCCCCACTTCCCCTTCTTTGACGCTTTCTGGCACCCCCGCTGGGTCCAAATCGGCCGGAAGACGAATCAGTGCACTCGTTGGCCTCCGGGACCTCTCCCCATCTATATATATACAAACTACTTACACATGTGTATGTATGTGTGTATAAATATAAAGATCTATGACCCCTGTCTTTCGTCTCTTCTATCCCTTTCGATCTCCCAATTTCTATCTCTCTCTGTCTCTCTTTGTTTATTCTTTTTAGATATCATATGTATGTCTCTCTTTCTTTTTGTTGTTGTCTCTCTCTCTCTCTCTCTCTTTCCCTCCCTTTTTTTTGCTCTCTCTCTCTCTCTATATCTCTCCCGATTCCTATGCGTGCACCTTTGCTGGCCAAACTCTCCCCCCTACACCCAGACATCCGGGACCTCAAAGCCCCCCTGATCCGCCCCGGCGTGCGTGCACAAAGCGGAAGCGCTCCCCTGGCCCGCCGCGCTCCCCGAATCAGGCCACGAGGGGTCGGAAGTCTACGACGAACACCAAAGACTGACCAAAAAGATGTTTGAACAGAGGTGGCGCTTAAAACGAAAACCGGAGCGACGCCCAACGTTCAGCACTAACGTTGAAAACGAAACCGTTGCCACACGAAACGGACAACGAAGCGAAGCTATTAGAACGAAACGTAGCAAACATGACAAACGAAGCAACAGACAAAACGAAGGCCCAAACCAAACTAAACAGCGTTGTGGTCGGTCCTTGCAAACCGGTCTTACGCGAGATTATATCGCGGCTAACGCGGGCCGCCAGTTCGGCACGCTGCATTGGAAACGAGTGCGCTTACGCGCGACCGCATGCGCCTGCAACTTGCACGCGCATGTTCGCGCAACCGAATCCGTCTTTCTGCATCCAAAGTGTTCGCAAGAGGCCCCTAAAGACCCAACACGCAGTAGCATCCGCGAACAAAACATGGCGGGGAAGGGTTCACAGAGAAGGGCGAGAACAAGGAGCATGAGAAGGAAGCGTGAGAAACATGATAATATGAGACTGACAATTTCGACAGGGATGAACACGTGCACATTTGATGTGAGTGTGTTATGTCTGTGTACGAGTGTGTATAGTAGACATATGCATACATATGTGTGCCTTCACACGTACACTAGTACACCATTCAGCCCGTGCGCGAAACTTGACTGAACCAATTGCGCGCCTCGAGGCGCCAATGCAATCTTATGTATCTGTAGGTATACCTAAATATAAACATAGGTTCCGCTCCTCCGACTATTTTTGCCATGGGGGCTGGGTTCAATCTACTAGTCGCAAACAACGCCATCCCGACGACGCGGCGCTCCTGAGGATCACACTGTCCAGCTTGCCGGTGGACGTGCCGCCCAGCGCGACGGGGAAGGACAGCGGCGGCTGCAAGACCTCCGAGACCTCGAGCTCCGATCACGCCCGCTCCCTCAACGAGAATGCGGGCCCACGTATAGACACTACCACCACCTCCACTCCCCCTCCCTCCTCTAACCTCCTCCTCCCCTCCTCTTTCCCGGGAGAGAGATGGGACGGGGTTCAGGAAATGGTGGTGGTGTACACCTTTGTTCGGCCCCGTCGAGAAAGCATGACACGGCGGTATGTGAGGTACAGCCGAAGCACGGCAAAACGAACGCAGGTGCAGAACAGGATCGCCCTCGCCAACGGCCCAGGGCCCCTATGAGGATGCCCTACTGGACAAGCGCGTTCCACTACTCGCAAAGTGACTACTCGCACATGGCCTGGATCCCCCGCGAGGGTTCTACGATCAATTACGTTGAGGAAGACTTGTTTTTGTTTCGGACGTTTGCGAGTAGGCAATTTGCGAGTAGTGGAACGCGCTCGGTGACCCACAGACATAACATCTCACGGCCGGGGTCTTGGCCGTCGAGCCATCTGCAGCGCGCCCATCCTTCCTCGACAGCGGGTGAGGGGGGGAAAGCGAGAAGGAGGAGGGCCCCTCTCAGAAGGCAGCGGGACCTCTCAGAAACCCTAAGCAGCGCCTTCTGAGGATTTTTTTTTGTGCCCTCGGGGACGGCTTGGAAAACTGTTCGGAATGCGGGGGGACTTGAAGGCCCGCCCCTGATCACTTCCCCCCCGGGTCCGCCGCCGAATTTCGCGGTCGGGGTCTTGACCGTCGAGCCATCTACAGCGCGCTCCTCCTTCCACAAGCACCCCAGTAGCATCGCCCTGCCCGACTCGTCGTGGAAAGCTCCGAGGGTGTCTGCCGCCCTGCCTTCGGCACGTCGGGGCGCATACCCGGTCACGCCTGCAGCGCGGAGGGCTTCGGATCGTGTCGATGGGGCCGACCCCCCTCTCCGCGCTTGCTGCGTCGCACGCTCGGCAGGAGGCAGTCCGCACGCGCGCGCCGGGGCGGGCCGTGAGGCGGCAGGCGCTCCTGGTCCGGCGGCGAGAGCGGGAGAAACAGGAGGGATGGGGGCCCCTAGTGGGCCCTGGAAACGACAGGGCCGTTTTTTTACCGGTTCCGTTTTGCCGTTTTTTTGCCGGTTCCGACGCCGTTTTTCTACCGGTTCCGTCGCCGTTTTTTGACCGGTTCCGGCTCCAGTTCCAATCCTGGAGCCGTTTTTGTTGCCGTTTCAGGTCGCCGTTTTTTCGCCGTTTCCATCTTCAAGGGACATTTTTTGGAAAGGTGAAAAAACGGCCCTGCCGTTTCCGGGGCCCACAAAGGATGGGGGCGGCCGCGGGGCGGGGGGAAGGGAGGGGGAGCGCTCACGCGGCGAAGCCGCCGCGACCCCCTCTCCACACCCGTGGGGTCAAGCATCCAGAGGCCTCCCGGATGGGGGTCCGAGTGGATGGGGTCGAAGGATCGCGCGACATCGCCTCTTCATCGCCGATGCATCCATGACGCATCGGCGATGCATCGGCGACGTCGGCGGTGTATCGGAGAAGCCGGCGCGGAGAAAATCGGGCTCCGCATCGAGCCGCATCGCCGATGCATCGGCGACGTTACAACGATGCGGCGCAATCCTCCGACTCCATCTGCTTCGGCCCCATTCGGGAGGCCTAGATTTAGGTCCGGCTTGTCCTCCTACAGGGGAATGTTGGAAGAAACAACGAAAACATCACCAACAAATATTAACAATTACTGGCAAGTCGTCACCATACTATTGTTTGACCATTCTTGAATATCCCTCCTGTAGAGGGACACGCCCGACTTAAGCATATATGCTACCATATATTCCTGGAAGAGGGGCGGATGCTTCAGAGGGCATCCGAGAAAACCCCAAGTCTTCTTGGAAGGCAGCCCCGAGGAGGAGGAGGAGGAGGAGGAGGAGGAGGAGGAGGAGGAGGGGGAGGAGGAGGAGGAGGGGGAGGAGGAGGAGGAGGAGGAGGAGGAGGAGAAGGAGGAGGAGGAGGAGGACGAGGAGGAGGAGGTCTAGATTCTTGGAGGGGGGGCCGACGCATCACAGGGCATCTGGGAAGACCCAGCGACTTCTCAGAGCTGGCCGCCCCTCCTAGCCCACGCCCCGCCACGTCGAGTCCGCTGCCCCGAACAAGCTCGGGCTCGCCACCGGTGTAGAAACGTCCCCCCTCCCCAGCATTAAGTCGGGCGTGCCCCCCTACAGGGGGAGTTTCGATGAAAAATAAAAAAATACAAAAAATGCTCCCAAATGGTTAAAATACAAAAAAAGTCCCCAGACTATGTTTTGACCATTTTTGAATTTTCCCCCTGTAGAGGGACAGGCCCGACTTAAGCCCCGCACTTGATTCGGCCTCGTGCGAATATTTGTTCCGCAAGATGCTCCAAGGTACTCCCGGATAGCGAATACTGCTCCGCAAGATGATCCAAGAGTCCCCCAGATAGCGCATACTCGTCCGCAAGATGATCCGATATGCTTCCCGATAGCGCATACTTTTCCGCAAGGTGATGCAACCTGCTCCCAGATAGCGAAACTGTTCCGCAACATGATCCAATATGCTCCCAGGTAGCGTATCTTTGTCCGCAGGGTAATCCGAGCTGCTCCCAGATAATAAGTCCTCCAGTCCAGTCCCGAAGCCTTGCGCTGGCCACGGCGCGTGAGCACTGGGTGAAACAGTGTGCACGGAAGCGGATGCCTTCCGCACGGCGCCCCCGCCATGACCGCCTGCGAGCTGCCCCGCCCTCGCCGAGAGAAGGTGCACACGTCCGAGCGAGGCCACGCCGGGGGCCCCTCCTGGCCAGTGCTCGGAGCCCCCGCCCAGCCGGTGGCGGCGACGAGAGCCTCCAGAGGAGTGCCCAGAGAGCCTCAGAGCAACAAGTAGGTCGGGCATGTCCTCCTACAGGCGGATTTTGGAAGACACATATGCGTAGCCAAACAATCGTCAACACTGGAAGGAACAGGAATCGGCAAATCGTCGCCCGACCATTTTCCCTGCTGTTCTTGAATACTCCTCCTGTGGAGGGACATGACACGTTCGACCGAGAGCAACGACCCCGAGAGCCCGCGCCACGACTAACAAAACTGAAGCCTCGTCGCAACAAAATCAGACCGGAACCGCGGACCCCATCTTTCTGCTGCAGCTTTCCCGCCGCATCGACCCGTGAGGGCCCCGGGGCCCGACGCGGGGCCGCAGGCCGCCCGCGGCGAAGAGCACCGCGCGCCCCGGATCTCGGGGGACACCCGGCGACCCAGGGCCCCGACGTCGCGTCTGTTTCACGGCGTCGACCCCCAGAGGCCTCGACCCCGAGCGTTTCTGACGGCCCCGAGGGCCGCTTCTTCCTGAGCCGTGTTTGGCAGCCCCGAGGCCCGCCAGAGGCCCCCCGAGAGGCCGAAGACAGCGACAAGCCCCCCGTCGCGATGCTGTCGTGGCTCCGTCATGGCTCGAGGGGGGGTCCGGGGACGTCGTCGCCGCCCAATGGGGCTGTCGCCGTGGGCGCCGCCAGCTCTCTCGGCCACACGTAAGATTGACCCCGGCCACGAGTGACCCTTGGTGCGCGACTCCACGGGGGACGCGGGGTGGCCAGACCTGGGCGCGCAAGCCGCTGCTACTGCTCCGCGATCAGCGATCGCGGGCCCGTTCCACATGCCACTCCCTCGAACATTCGGGCGCCCGAAATGGGTGCGGAAAAGATGTGTACAGTGCCCACTGTCGAAGATGGACACAGGCCGCGGCGGCGCGGACAGCGAGTCCTGTTCAAAATGGACCAGAAATGCTGTTGGGCATTGTATCCATTCTTTCCCTACCCACGTCGGTCGTCCCGAGAACAGCCCCTCTCTCTCCGTGGCCCCTCCCTGGGCGGGGGCCTGTCCGGTGCTCATGGGGCCGCCGCGCAACAGCTCCTCCGAGGCGGGGCCCGTCACGTGGGCGCCGCTGGACTGGGCCTGGCGCCGAGGGGAGAGCGCAGCGGGAAAAGCACGCCTGGGGCTGCTCACGGGCTGCTAGCAGGGCTAACGAACTAGAAGGAGGAAAGCGGAGGTCCGTGCGGATTTCTTCGGCCCGCGCTGCACAACCCTGCCCTGCACGCGGAGCGCGCCAGGGGCGGCGCCCGAGGCGCAGCCGGGGGGGGCCCCGCGCCGACCCACGAAATCCGCGCGGACCTGCGCGCGGCGGGAGCCGGGTGGGACCTACGCCCAGGCAGCCTCGCCTCAAGCCGGGAGGCCAAAGCTACGGCGGAAGGCTTTGCGCTATTTCCGTGGGCGTCCGAAGAGGGTGCAGGTCAACCCGTACAGTGAGGATGAGCGATCAGGATGGACCGAGGAGGCAAGGATGCCAGGGTACCCCCTTGGGAAGGTTGCCCATCCTTACTGTTCGGGATGACTGTGCGGAAAACATGGGCGCGCCGCCCAACAACACATGCCGCCCAGAACCGACGGCGGCCGCTGTTGGGCAGGCGGCATTCCGCCTCAGATGGACCACGCCCGCGGGGGCACCGATCCGAAATTTAGAGGCTGGTCTGAACTGCATGGGGCCATGTAAAGTCAATCAATCTAGAAAGGGGGTGAAGGCAAATTCGCTCAGAATCGCTCCCTGGACCCCTCCTGGGGTCCATCCGGAGCAGCTCTTCACCCCGGAAGCGCCGCAGACGGCCCCCCGAAGCAGAAAAAGGCAGACGAAAGCATCCCCGAACCCAGGACCTCGAACCTGCCGCTCTCTGTGCCCATTCTTCCGGTGCCCATGTAGAAGCCTCCTGGATACAGTCGGGGAGTTGACCCAAGAAAGCCTAAGTAAGGAACGAGGCCTCTTTTTCCATAAGTTAAACTTCCATATCCCATCGAAAAAAACATAAGGAAAACCTGAGGCAAGCTGAGAAACAATTAAGGAACACGGAGCCCCTCTCCAACGAAAAGGGTTCCTTCTTCAGCGACCCGACTGTAGGGTCCGAGCAGATGGGGTCGGAGGATCGCGCCGCATCGCCGATGCGTAACAGGTACATCGGCGATGCATCGGCGATGCCTCGGCGATGCGTCGGCGATGCGTCGGCGCCATCGGCGTGGAGAAATTCGGGCTCTACGTCGACTGGCATCGGCGATGCGTCCGCGATGCGGCGCGGTCCTCTGACCTCCTCTACTCGGACCCCGTCTGGGAGCCCCAGACCCAGACTCCCGACGTCTATGTTTTCTCATGGCGTTGACCCCCAGACGTCTCGACCCGTTGACCACTTCTTCGTCCCGACTCGTTCCTGGACGGCCCCGAGGCCAGGCAGGGCCTCCGGAGAGGCCGACGGTAGCGAAGAGCCGTCCGTCGCAATTCTTGTCTTAAGTGGGGCGTGTCCCCCTACAGGGGGATTTTCGACGAAACATTAAAAATACCCCCAAAAAATCCGCCGGCCCCCTTGTGGCGCCACCAGGCTGTAGGCCCGTGATTCGCAGTTTCCTGTACCAGTTGTAGTTTGTAGTTTCCAGTGTTACAGTTCTGCTTCTTGCTGGTTACTGTAACTAGTTGATTGACCGCGCGAGGGGAGGGAGGCCCAAACCAGATTTTTAGCACCACCTGGGCGCGTTGTCTGAATTGCTGGGGGGGCTCAAAATCGACACCCCTCACGCAGATCCGCGGGGTCAGGGTCCAAAAACACATGGGATTTGCCACATTTCTGAAATTCGGTGCCACCCCTCACGCAGATCCGCGGGGTCAGGGTCCAAAAACACAGGGGATTTGCCACATTTCTGAAATTCGGTGCCACCCCTCACGCAGATCCGCGGGGTCAGGGTCCAAAAACACAGGGGATTTGCCACATTTCTGAAATTCGGTGCCACCCCTCACGCAGATCCGCGGGGTCAGGGTCCAAAACCTGCTCTTCCATTGCCCATTCTCCGAGAGAGGGGGCCGGCGGCAGGGGGCGAAGCCCTTACGGACAAAAAAATAATACAAAAATAGCCTGGGGACTATTTTTCAAATATTTTTTTGACCTTTTTGACTTTTTGACTATTTTTTATTTTTCGTCGAAAATCCCCCCTGTAGGGGGACAGGCCCGACTTAATTCTTGCTCCTGCGCGAGGGGGGCCCTGGGTCGCCCGTCCCCAAGCTTTCGGCCCCCGGGGGCCCCCTTGTGGGCCCCCTTGTGGGCCTCGGGGGGCGCGGGCGGGCGGCGCGCGGGCGGGCGGCGCGCGCGCGCCTTCCCACGCCCGAGGCTGCAGTGGGCCCTCGTGAGGGCCTCCGTGGACCTCCGCGGCCCTGCAAAAGGGGGCTGCCGAGCGAAGGGGCGCTGGATGTCGCTGCGCCGTGTGTCCTCGACGCGCCCGATGAGGGCCAAGCCGACACCACGGCAAGCCAGCTGCGAGCCCTGCGCCCCGCGCCCCAGCAGACGACGCCGGGACCGCGGCAAACCCACGGCGAGCCCACCGCGCCCGAGGCGGAGTTTGCCCCGGTGGCCGCGGCGTCCTTCCCAAGACGCAAGGCCGTGCGTCGGAGGAAACGGCGCGGCGAAAAGTAAGAAGCGAAGCCACTTTTCTGCGCGAAAAGCGCCTGGGTGCACGAGGAAGGCCAGAGGCACAACCACGGAATGGTCTCAGGATCAGCATGGAACAGCGAGCCCCTTGCGAGCCCAGAGCGGTCCTTATTCCAACGCCTTGGCATTATCACAACCGACTGGATCTCGTCTAGATTTCGACCACCTCTCTCCCAGCCAAATGACGTCCAGAAGACGACCAGATCCGACGAACATCAGGACGACGTCTCCCAGGCCGCAGGGAAGTTCGGGGCCCAACCCTCTGAAGCCCCCACGGAGGACCACACGACTGAGGAGGCTACTTCTGAAAGGTCTTCGTAAGAACGATGAGGCGCCAATGCGGTACAAGCAACCTGCAGTCGTGAGACAACGTCATGCATGAGTGCTTCTTCACAAGGTTCGGCCTCCGGGGGGCCCTTGCTGGGCCTCGGGACCGTCAACAGAAGCCGCTCGGGATGACGAGCGGGTCCCCAGGAAGGGGCCCAGACCAGGGCGCGAGCCCAACCTTGCTCTCGTTCTCCCTCGCTTTGTCTTCGCTGCCCCCTCGCTGCAGCACGAAATCAGCACGCAAGCGGACCACGATGTCGCCAAGGGCACCCTCGTCTGGGCCTCTGGGCCCACGTTGCACTCGTTCCACCGAGGATCGAGGCTCTCGCTCCCTCCTCCCCCTCCTCGCCCCTCGTCGTCGTCGTCGTCGTCGTCGTCGTCGTCGTCGTCGTCGCCTGCTCGTCCTCGTCGTCGTCAGCGTCCTCGTCGTCGACGTTTCGAACCAGTGCGGCCCGCAGCGCGTCGTCGTCGTCGTCGTGGTCGCCTGCTCGTCCTCGCCGTCGACGTTTCAAACCAGTGGCGTCTCGCAGAGGACCACCTCACAATTCAACCAATGCGCCTCTGTGGTGCACGGTTTTCTCTTTGGGGCCTCGAGGGAGCTCGCTGCCACGACGGGATCCCCCCCGAAGTCCTCAACCACGCCCCAGACCAAGTACTGGCACGACGTTTTTGCCTCCTGCGCCCGCCTAGACCGCCTGGCGAAGTGAGCACAAAACAACGACCAAACATTTGGCGGCGAACGAGGGGGGGAAGTAAGAAGGAGAAGTCCTTCTCAGAAGGTTCGGAAGTCCCCCGACCTTATCAGAGGTTTCCCAAACCTTCACCGAAGACCAACAAAAACTTGCCAGAAGGCGCGAAGGCTTCTGAGAAGTCCCGCCGCCTTCTGAGAAAGCCTTCTCCTTCTCTTTCCCCCCCCCCCCCTCGCTCGCCGCCGAAACATGTCAGGCAGACCGTGATCAGCCACTGGGGGCCCTCAACGGGCCCAGAAGCGTCACACGACTGCTCAGGATGAGGAGCTGGTCTGGGAGACGTGGTGGAGACCCTGCAGGGGGTCCACGCTGCGAGCCAAATCGCAAAGTGGGGTCTCCTGCGGGAGAACAAGGACGGAGAATGAACCTGTACTGGTGGATGCCGGCGCAGACTTCTTGGGCCCGCGCTGGGCTCTCCTCAGAACCAGCCCTGGCGGGGCCCTCTGGGGACGCCCCCGACGCGCTCCGCGCCCCCTTCCCTTCCACCGCTCCCCGTCCTTCTCATGACCTCCCTCTGCTCCCATCCCATCCGCTTCCATCCTCTCCCGTCCTCCACGCGTCCCATCTCCTCCCCTGCTCCGCCCCCCTCCCTCCCCTCCCAGTCCCCCTCCACCGTGCCTCTTCCCTAGTCGCTCCTTCCCTTCCCCCCGCTCCACGTCCTTCCCATCTCCCTGCGTCCTTCCCCTTCTCGTTCTGCCGCCCTTCCCATCTCCCTTTACCCCCCCCCGTGCCGCTGCCCAGTTCCCCCATTCCCCTCCCCCTCCCCGCCACATCCCCCACCGTCTCGTGCACCGCAGGGTCTGGGTATACGCATCCTCTTTGCCGTCCCCCGCCGTTCCCCTCCTCCTCCTGCTCCTCCTCAACCTCCACGTCCTTCTCCTCCTCCTTCTCCTCCTCCTCCTCCTCCTCCTCCTCATCTGTGCATTTCTCGTCCTCTCCCCTGCTGCTGTCGCGGTGTGTATGCGATGCGCGTCATGCCAAGATCCTCCTCATCCTCATCCTGGCTCTTCTGCTTGTCTTCGTCGCCATCCCCCTCGTCGTCGTCGTCCTCCTCCTTCTCCTCCAGCTCCTCTACAGAACCTAGAACTGCCCTAAGGAAAGCCCAGAACCACTCAACGCCCTCCCTCACCTCTTCCTTCTTCTCTTCCCTCCGCGTCCTCCTCACGTCCGACCCCACTCATCATCCCCATCTTCCTCATCCTCCTCCGTCTCCTCCTCCTCCTCCTCCTCCTTCTCCCCAGCCCTCTCATTCTCCCCATCAGCCTCGCCCTCCCCTCTCCTCATCCATCCTCCTCTCCCCCTTATGATTCTCGCCATTCTCCACCCCCCATCCTCCTCCTCCCTCCTCCTCCTCCTCCTCCTCCTCCTCCTCCTCCTCCTCCTCCTCCCCCTCCTCCCTGTCTCATTCTCTCCCCCCACCCTTGTCCTCCTCCTCCTCCTCCTCCTCCTCCTCCTCCTCCTCCTCCTCTTCGCCTTCCCACTTAGCGAGTCTCCAAACGACGACCGGGCGGGGCCATGAACACGAGGCGTCTCATGAGGTTCCACTGGGCCGGGCCCGGCGGCGGGTCGGTGACCACCGCCTCTCGGGGTCGTCGCCGTCGCCACCGCTGCCGTCATGGTCGTCGTCTTCGCAATCGTTGCAGTCGTGGTCGTGGTCGTGTTCGTCGTCGTCGCATTTGTCGTCGTCGTCGTCGCCATCGTCGTCGGCGTCGTCGTCGTCGTCGTCGCAATCGTCGTCGCAATCGTCGTCGCCGCCACCGTCGCCGTCATCGCCGCGGCCGTCGTCGTCGTCGCAGACGCTGGGGCCGCCGTCGTCGTCGTCGACGTCGGTGGTGTCGTAGTCGTCGCCGTCGTCGTCGTCGGCGGCGTCGTCGTCATCGTCGTCGTCGTCGCTGGCGTCGACGTCGTCGTCGTCGTCGTCGTCGTCGTCGTCGTCGTCGTCGTCGTCGTGGTCACCTGCTCGTCGCCCCTTACCCAACTCGGCACGCCCCTCACACGCTTCGTGGCCCCATAACGAGCTGCAACGAACGCCCTGATGGCAGGGTCCGCATGTGGCTCCCCCTCCCATTGTGCCACACTCCTCGCAGGCTGCGTGGCCCCTTAGGGAGCTCCAACGAAGGCCCCATTGGCTGTGTTCGCATGGCGGCCCCGCACCCGACTCGGCACACCCCTCACAAGTTTCGTGACCCCATCGGGGGCTCCGCCGAAAGGGCCCAGTGGCTGCGCTCCCATGGCGTTCCCGCCCCAACTTCGGCATACCCCTCACATGTTTCGTAGCCCCATAGAGAGCTCCACCGAAGGCGGCTCCCCAAATGGACATGGTTGGGTCCTTCGTCAAGCAAATCTTATGACTCTTCAGGGATTCCCAGGAGCGGGGTCAGCGGCTTGGCGGGTTGAGGGGAGGGGTGGAGGGCAAGCAGCACGGGCAGCAGCGGTAACACTTTTCTCGCCGGCGGCGATGCAGAGGCAGTCCGCACCAGCGCGAAGCTAATCGGGGCAACCGAAAGGCGAATTGTCTCGCGTGCAAGAGGCAGAGAAGCAGCAGCGGGAACACGAGCAGCTGGAATCGCAACCCTGTGCCCCGCTGACGGGCGCCCCTAATAACCCGCATCCAAACTTGCCTTTTCGGGGCCCCGGTCAGCGGGCAAATGGCTGCGGTTCGAGCCGCTCGTGCTCCCGCCGCTGCCTGTGCTGCTTGCCCTCCACCCTTCCCCTCCGCACGCCAAGCCGCTGACCCCGCACCCAGGAACCCCTGGCCAGCCGTTCTTGGGGGGGCCAAGAGGTACCGACACCGCTACTTCCCGGACCTCTCCTGGGGTGCGGTATTCCAATGATCTCGAGGCGAATTCAACGGTGGCGACGAAGAGGGCCTCGCAGGAGGCCCACGGAGGGTGAACACGGAGGAAGGGCACGAATTCTCCTGAGAGGATCGAGGGGGACCTAGGATCGAGGGGGATCGAGGATCAGAGAGGAGCGAGGACCGAGAGGGATCGAGAGAGAGCGAGGATCGAGGAGGATCGAGGATCGAGGGAGGATCGAGGAACGAGGAAGCGGGGATAGTCATGTGGAACGCTCTCGTCCAGACCCCCCCTTTCCCAGAGCTGGCTTCTTGGCTCGTCGCTGGGCGTCCCTCCCCGCGGAACGCGCCAGGGTAGGCGCCCGATGCGCCGCCAGGGGTGTGGGGCTGGTGCAGTTGGGATCGGAGGGTAGTACCGCATCGCCAGAGGAGAAAGCACGTTTCGGTGGCAACTGATGGGAGCTTCCCACACCATCTTGTCGGCTCTTGCGAATCGGTGCTAATCGACGCCAGTCGACGCCCATCGACGCGAAACCGACGCTAATCGACGAAAGCCGACGCTAAATCAGCACTATTTCATCGACTCCGAGATGCTAATCGACGCTAAAGACGGAATTGACAGGGTATGCCATGCACCCCTGGTGTGCTACCAGAACACGTGCTCCAAGTCTCCAGGTCGCTCCTGCGTCGACGTTGCGGCCCGGTCCTCCGGCCCCACCTGCTCTGGCCCCATGTGTAGGGGAACAAAAAGTGTCATAAACATAAAAACTCGGAGGTCCGCGCGGATTTCTCGGATCGGCGCTGGACCCCCCTCCCTGGCGCGCGGAGCGCGCCAGGGGCGGCGCCGGAGGCGGCGCCGGGGGGCCCCAGCGCCGATCCGTCCGCGCGGACCTCCGAGTTTTTATGTTTATGTCACTTTTTGTTCCCCTAATGTGGTAAGCCTAGGGGAAGGGGGCCCTGCGCCGACCCAAGAGCTCCGCGGGGGCCTTGCCGCGCCGAGGTTTTGCCACGCGGAGCCTCGAGACACGGGAAGCAGCGCCCCTCCAGAGCAGCGCTCGTGCGCCGGGGCCTGCGAGGAAGGCCGGAAGAACGCCACGTGGAAGGAACAAAGAGAGACAGGCTCACCACCCGCATGATACAAAGAGACAGGCTCACCACCCGCATAGCCGTTTAGCGACCCCCTTGCGAGCGAAGCCGTTTAGCAGGTGTGCCCAAGGAGGTAGTTAATCAACACAAAGCAGGCCTCTCTGGCAGACGCCAAGGACAGCTGGATCACCGCCGGCTGTGGGGGTCGGAGCGGTTGCCCCTCCCTTGGAGAGGTGGGCCCTGGGAGCCACGAGCCCCAAAAAGGACAGACGTGGTCCTCGCGGCAGCGTTTCGGCCGTGTGCCATTTTCCGTTGTTCCATGTATGGCGCCCGCGCGTCGGCTGGCCCCTTACCTCCCCTCCTCCTCCTCCTCCTCCTCCTCCTCCTCCTCCTCCTCCTCCTCCTGCTCCTCCTCCTGCTCCTCCACACCCTCCATCCTGCCCTACTCCTTCCCTCTTCCTCCTCCTCCTCCTCCTCCTCCTCCTCCTCCAACTCCTCCCCCTCCAACTCCTGCTCCTCCAACTCCTGCTCCTGCCGCTCCTCCTCCTCCTCCTGCTCCTCCTCCTCCTCCTCCTCCTCCTCCTCCTCCTCCTACTCCTCCTCCTCCTCCTCCTCTTCCTCCCCTTCCCGAACCGCCTCTCGAACTCAATTCGAGACGGCTCCCATGGAGGCGTCATGATGGGCTGTGGGAGGCGGGAGGTCCAGCGCCGGCCCGGAGCATCCCGCGTGGACCTCCGAAGGCTTCTGCTCAGGCCGCTGTTTGCTCCTCGACCCTCCTTCCCTCCTGCTTCCCTCGTCCTCGTCCTCGTCCTCCTCGTCCTCCTCGTCCTCCTCGTCCTCCTCGTCCTCCTCGTCCTCTTCGTCCTCGTCCTCGTCCTCCTCCTCCTCCTCCCTCCTCCTCTTCCCTCCATACCCTCCATCTTTCCCTCCTCCTTCCCCCCCCCTCCTCCTCCTCCTCCTCCTCCTCCTCCTCCTCCTCCTCCTCCTCCTCCTCCTGCTTCTCCTCCTCCTCCAACTCCTTCTGCTGCTTCTGCTCCTGCTCCTCGACCCTCCTCGCCATCGTCCCGCGTGCGCTCTGGCCAGGACCTCGTGGCGGAGCCTTGCCGTGGCGCAGAGCAGCCTCCCGGAGGCCCGAGGCGGGCGACGGACGTCGAGAGGCCTCGCCCCTCCCACAGCTCGAGCCCCCGGCCTCGCCCCAGCAGCAGGCACGGCGAGGTCGCGCCGGGTCGGCCCCGGCGCTGGCTTCTCGGGCACCGCGTGGCTCGTCCTGCCTCTCCTCGTCGGCGACTCCTCGATCGCCGGCTCGTTCCGCCCTGGCCGACTCTGGGGCGCTGGCGGTGCTCCACCTTCCACGCCCGCGGCGGGGTCGCCACCGCGCCGACGCCGCACCAGCCCGCCGCACCCCTCCGGACCCCTCCGAGGGCGAGGCCCACGGAGGCAGCGCCTTTCCGAGGCCTGCGCCGAGCATCTTGGTGATCGGCACCGGGCCCCCCTCCCAGGCGGGTGTAGCGCGCCACGGGCGCCGATCCGAGAAGCCCGCGCGAGACTCCGACGGCTTTCGACTGCGTCTCATCAGGGAGGTGGGAGGGCGAGGGGAAGGAAAGGGGGGGTAAGCTGAGACAGAGTGACAGGGCAGGATGGCTTCATCGACGACGAGGCCCCACTTGCATCTGAAGTGCTACAGATGCTGAAAGCTGATCCGTCACAAGCGTTTCACGCCCCGACCTCTGTCCGTTACGCAGGCCTGGGGGGGACATCGTATCCTCAGGTCGGGCATTTCCCCCTACAGGCGGGCTTTGGAGGAGAAGTAAAGCATATTCCTCCTGTAGAGTGGCATGCCCGATTTAAGGGTATCGCTCTAACGCTGCAGGCAGCATCAGACACAGCAGTGACAGGCTGCTGTTGCGTGGGCAATCGGATGCTTCGTGCATCACTCGCAGGTTGAGCACTGTCCGCTGGTGCCCAGGAGGGAGGCGCAGAGGGAGGCATGGCCCGAGGAACAAGAACTTGTCGGCAGGCATCGCCCTTTCTCTGAGCCAGGCCCGCCTGCAGGGAGAAGAAGGGGAGGAGGGGCGGCGACGAACCTTGACAGGAGCCTCCCCGGCGCGCGGGGCGGTCTGGTGTTCGGGGAGCTGTGCTGACCCGGGCCCATCCAGACCGGGGCCAGTCAGGCCGTGCAGAACCCCGCAGGATCCTGCAGGGTCCTGCGCCCAAGCCCCCAAAACTCGGGTCAGACCACCCCTGGCGCTGCAAGATCCCTCGAGACCCGGCGCTCGGACGGACTTCCCGTTGCACTATGGCCCCCGTCCCTCGAGCTCCGAATTGGCGCGCGTGCTCTGCTCCCCGGCCCCGCTCCCCGACGAGCCTCCCAGCTCGTGGCGGTGCCCGCGGTGGCGTTCACCTGGGCGCGCGCGGGGGGAGCCGCCCCGGGGGTGGCCCCGCCGCGCCAACGGGATGATCGCGGTCGGGGGCCCGTCCTCCTCCTTCTCCGCACCCGGACATCCATGTCTTCGGGAACTCGTCGGTTCCCGAAGGCTTTCCTGATTCGGGCGCGTGCCAGAAACTGCGCCTCGCCGCGAGAACGCTCCAGGGTTGCCCGAATCGCCCCGAACGGCAAAGGGATATCCGAGCCATGGCCCGAAAACCTATGCCTCGGAGGAGTTCACATCCGCAGATCCAGGCGAAGCAAGAGCGCGCGTTTTATGCTCGCAGCCACAACGGGTGTTATGGGAAGGGGGAATGGGCAGCAAAGGGGCATAACGTAACGCCCCCCCCCCGCCGTGTGGCTCCGGCAACACAACGCCTGTACGCATCACAGCAAGCACTCCAGCGCGCAGCACAGTATGCACCACCGGTCAGGGCTCCTCCTCCTCCTCCTCCTCCTCCTCCTCCTCCTCCTCCTCCTCCTCCCGCTCATCATCCTCCTCCCTCTCGTGCTCTTCTTCCGATTACTCTTCATACACCCCGCTCGTCCTCATACTCTCCCTCCCTCCCCCGTCCGCTACCCTTGGAGCCTTCTCTTCATTCCATCCTCCTCGAATCCTCTCCAACACTGGGGGGAACAATGATGTACCGATCCCGCTTCTCCCCGGACTTCATCCGGGGCGCGTTCCCCTGGTGCTTTCTGGCCGGGATTTCCAGACGAATCCGGCCGTGGCCCTGAGGGAAGGGTAGCGGCATCGGTGTCTTCTAATCCCCAGCTTTCGGGTCATTCGCGTCTCCTGTGGCTGCTCCGGACGAGACGGGCGCCACGGGAACTCTCTCGGCGAGGCGCAGCTGCTGAAAAAGCAGCCCGAGGCTGGGAATCCGCCGAGGACCGACGACAACGTCCGAAAACCTGGAGAGCTCGAGCTTCGAGGAGGGGGGGCCGAGGAGGGAGGACGGAGGGAGGGAGGAGGGAGGACCCAGGGGGAGAGAGCAGGAGGGAGGGAGGGGGCGGCACGGAGGAGAGCTGCCGAGGGAGGAGAGCGGGGGAGAGCAGAGCTGCGTCACGGAGCGGTGCCGAGAGGCGGGCACGATGGCCGGCTGCCCCTCTGGGGACGGCACGAGGCCGCTCCCGGAGGGGGAGAAAACAGGACCTCCTCGCGCAAAGCCGGGCTTCCTCGCAGGCGGCGGACGCATCCACAGCCGCGCCCCCTCGCGGCGGTGGTGGGCTTCGGCGCGCGATCCCGCGGGCACGCGGTCGCGAGGACGCGCTCCGCGCGGGGCACCCCCCGCACACGGAGACGCCCCGTGTCCGCGAGGTCGCGGCCCAGAGGGGGGGGGCGCCTGGCCCGCGAGGCCGGGGATGCGGATCTGTCTTGCGCCCACGAGTTCGCGCTCACGCCTTCTCTCACCGCACCGACCTTGCAGACGTGCTGCACCGGCTTGTTGCGCGGAGTTCTGTCAGTGCAAAGCCCCGAAGCGGCTAGCGAAACACGAAGTGAGTTTCAAGTATCTTGTTTTAGATTCCATTCCTGGCCACCAGCAAATCCGCACGAAATTCACATCGAAATCCAGGACGAAATCCTCCAGGACACTCCGGGCCAATCCTGTCGTTTTCCGCACGAAATCCGCTCTGCGATGTTGGCGCCATGGCCTCTCGGCCCAGCGCTGTTGGAGAAAGCGAGATGGGGGGGATGCCGTGCAAACAGTCGGGGGCCACATGCGAACACTACCCCTACCCCCCTCAATTTCTGAGGGGGAGGGTGGGGTTCACTTCGCTCGGGAGCTCGCGAACGAAGTAAAACCCACCCTCCCCCTCAGAAATCGTGTGGTGTGGGGGTGGGGTTCGCCTGTGGCCCCCTAAACAGACTTGCCAGAGTCCAGGGTGGAAACACGCCCCCTGGGGCCCACTGGCGGAGCGGGCATGCGGGAGGGGGGCAGAAGGACTCCCCCCCCTCTTCGACGCCCTCCTCCGTAGGGAAACCAAAGCGGGTACGGATGCCGGTGCTCCCCGGACCTCTCCCGCGGTGCGTTGCGAGTTTCGAGGCGCACTTCGAAGCCAATCCAGCGGTGGAAGCAAGGGCCTCCCAAGAGGCCCAAACTGGCGAAAGCGAGGGAAGGGTATCGATATCGGTGCCTATCCTCCTGCGAAGTAGGTATGGGGGCGTCGTGTGATTTTTCCACAGCGCGGAACTCCAGAGGTCAACCCATTCCCTGGGACCAGCTTTTCGTCCTGAGTCGTGTTTTGACGGTCCCGGGCCCCAGCGAGGGCCCAGAGAGGCCGAAGCTGGCAACAAATCACCCGTCGCGATCAGTCGCGATCCTTTGTCGCGGTGCGAAGGAGTCTGGGCACCCTTCCCCCTCTGATCCTCGACTCTCCTCGCCCCGCGGGCGGGGGGCGCGGCTCGCCGCGAAGCGGCACGCGCCCTCCGAGGGCGCCCGCCTCACGGTGAGCCCCTGCGGCTCGTTGCAGCGGGACAGCTGCTCGCTGCACCACCTCGGGGGAGTGAAGCGTTGGGGGAGAGGAGGAGGAGGAGGAGGAGGAGGAGGAGGAGGAGGAGGAGGAGGAGAAGGAGGAGGAGAAGGAGGAGGAGGAGGAGAAGGAGGAGGAGGAGGAGGAGGAGGAGGGGCAGGGGGGGGGGGAGGGAGGAGGAGGAGAAGGAGGAGGAGGAGGAGGAGCAGGAGGAGGAGGAGGAAGAGGAGGCGGAGGAGGAGGGGGAACGGAGCTTCGAGGCTCGAGGTCTGAGGTTTTTGTTCGTGCAACCTCGGCGGCTCTCCGACCTCGTGATGCCTTCCGCGGCTGCGCCTCGCCGAGAGCGTTCCCGGGGGTCCCGCATCGTCCCGAACGGCCGCTGGAGACCAGAGTTCTGACCCGAAGGCCAGTGGGCCAGGGGGGAACGTCGAGCTGGAATCGTCACGATAGGACGCCGACAGCGAAACCGCACGTTTCTGGGCGGGGTTGGCTATCGGGCCCCTATCGGGGATAAATTTGCGATTGGGGGTCTGTGCATCTCCCCAGGAGCATATTCCCCCTAGCGTTGGCACTGATACCGGAAGGTCGGAGGGGAGCTCTCTTGGAGTTGGACTGCCTTGAGAAGCTCGTTTGGGCAGTTGTGGGGCGAGGTTCGTGCCTCCTGGGCGGTCTCGGACGCCTGGAAGACCGAAGCACAGAGCACTCCCAAACTCATACAAACATCATTGGAAATCGATTCCTCTCTGCGGTTCGTGAGCCTCGTGAGGACCTTTTGTGGGTCGTCTTCGGGCGCCTGGTGGGCGTCTGGGGAGTCTTGAGGCCCTCGCGGCGTTCTGCCGCCATTCCGACCGATTCGGGCCCGCTGCCTGAGCCCAGTGGGGGAACTCCAGGAGCCCCCGGAGAGCCTGGGGGGACCTCCTGAACCGGAGTCCAGGGCCTGCCCCGGGACCGCGGATCCTGGGGGTCCCATTTTTGGTGCGGGGGGGAGAGGGGCGCCCCCCGAGATCGCAAACATATAGCAAGGGTGAATGTGTGTATAGATAAATGTAAGCACACACACATATAGATTGACCTTCTGACCGTCGCAGTACAAATTTATTCCTCGGCTCGGTAGATGATCGGGTTGGGGCGGGTACGGCGCGCTGTCGTGTGAGGTCTGGGGTCAAACCTACTGGGGCCTGTCAGGAGGCCTCTCAGGACCTCTAGAAGCCGTTTGGGTGCCTTTTTGAAACCTGTTTTCTAGTCGGACCCAGGACAGCAGAACATCCCTCAAGAGCACGAGACCCTCCGCTGGCCACAGCACACACAAAACATCCGAGGACACCCACCCCAGGATGCACAGGAACGTTCACTAGGGTACCATCCCCGAACCGACCTCGATCTTATACCTCGGTCTGACTGTAAGCCTCTCAAGGCCTCCTGGGGGACCTCCTGGCGGTCTCGGAGGCCCCCTTCGACGTCTCAAGTCGGCTTCCCACTTCTTGCGCCCCTCGAGGGGCGTCTCGGGGTCCTCTTGGGAGCTTCTTGAGCCGTCTCGGGATGATCTTGGAGGCCTCGCCGAAGAGTCGCCCATGCTGGAAACATGTGCTATCCTAGGAAGGAATGGGGCGATGTTTGCCTCTTGGGGCTCTCTTGGGGGGGCTCGTGGGGACCTCTTGGGGCGTCTTCGAAGCCTTTTGAACCGCTTGGGGGCCATCTGAAGCTTATTGTACCGATCGCTCGACCACTCGGGGCCCTCGGGGACCGTCTGGAAAACCTCTTGGAACAATTTTGGCCTGGTCGGGGAGCCATGTGACAACATCGGGGGCCCTCTGGGGCTCTCCAGAAACAGCCCAGCCCTCCGGGCCCAAAATCAAGCCAGAGCCGTTCTCTAAGAGTACAGGTGCCCGAGGCACCAGTACAACTGCGTATCTACATAAGCTCATGCATATACACAAATGCACGTATGCACACCGTCTATATATACACATACACATATGTGTATACATGTGTGTGCATAGTCACACACATGCACACACATGTACACCAATGTATATGTCTGTAGTTTATTTACTTGCATCTGTGTATGTATGTCTGCATGCATGACTGTATGTCTACATGTGTGTATGGCTGTACGTATATATGTGTATATATGTATACATATGTATATCTGTCTGGTTGCCTGTCTGTCCGTCTGTCTGCTTGTATGTCTGTATGCATGTCTGTAGGTATGCATGGAACTATGTACATATGTATACACACGTCACAGTGCATACACGCCACCGTGCATTCGAGGCACGAAGTGGAATTACCCCCCAGGCTCTCGTGATATCTGCTCCCTGTACTCAGAACTCGGGGACTCTAGTATTCTCAGGGCTGGGGCCCAAAACTTCGCAAAGTTCCTGGGCGCTCCCGCGCGCTCCTGCGCTGCCTCGCGTGACTTTTCCAGATGCCAAGACAGCACCAGAAAGCGCTCGAAAGGGCCCAAGAGACCTCCAAGACGGCCCAAGAGCGCTCCAATACGCCCAAGATGGCCCCAAGACGGCTCAAGGGGTCCCAAAGAAGCCCCAAGAGCGCTCGAAGAGAATCCCAAGAGGGCCTCAAAAGGCAAACCTCATTGATGTTCCTTGTGTGCTTCAGTGTGTTTCGCGTGGATGGCCCCCAAAGGCCCACAACACCGCCCGAGGCCCCCAAGAGGGCCCCAAGATGGTCCAAAAAAGGCCCAAGAACTGCCCAAGAGGCGCTCGAACTCGCCCAAGAGTGCCCCTAAGACGGCCCTCAGACGGCCCCAAGAGGGGGAACACGAACCGACGAGTCGTGCCTTCCGCCTCACGAAGCCCACAGGAGGCCCCCAAGAGAGCCCCAAGAAACACCCCAGGGGGCCCCCAGGAGGCTCCCAGGAGGCCCCCAAGGGGCCCCAGGAGGCCCTAAGAGGCCCTAAGAGGCCCCTAAGAGGCCCCCCAAAAGCCCTAAGAAACACCCCCACGAGGCCCCCACGAGGCCCCCGCGAGAGGCCCCCGAGAGTTCCCCCCTAAACGGCCTCCAGACCCCCGCGAGGCCCCCCGACGGTATCACGACGAGCAGCCACGAGACCTCTAACCCACGACCCAGGCACGGGGGCGGAAGGGCCGAATGCCATTATATTTGTTTATACATATACACTTATACACACATATATATAGTTATATACATACATGTGTGTACATGTGAAGAACGATATGCCGAGAAAGTTGTGAATATACACTGCGCATGTTTATTCATCCATATATTTACAGATGCCGATGTATATGCATACATCTATATCTACACACATATATATATATATGTATATTTATGTATGTATATATATAAAATACACCTACACATGTGTGTGTTTATAAATTTACACACAGGCGCACACATCGATACACATACAAGTGTGTGTATGTGTATATGTGCATATCTGTACTCGAACCATCGCGCGCGCATCGCGCGCGCTCAAGTTCTAGCTAGGCCTAACAGGCTAACTCATGTCATCTCATGTTGGTCGCTTCTTGCGTCCAGGGACTCCTTTGGAGGCCCTGCGCAAGCCTCGGGATCGTATAGAAGGGGAAACGCAGAAACGCAATAATCAGTACTTTCCTTTCGGTATTCAACGATTTGGGGCCCTCAACGGCTTCCGGGTTTCTTTTTCGGGAGGTGAGGAGGGTCTGAATTGTGGTCTGTTGTGCAAGAGTAGACCCGGGGCCAAACTTGAAGAAAAAAATAAGGAATTATTGGATTTCCATGTTTTTCCAATTCCTCGGCGCTGTTCGGCGCTGTTTTTTGTTTATGCCTCGCGGGTTTCGTTAGCCGGGCCCCTCAGGGGTGTGGGATCTTCCGGACCCCCTGAGGGTTCTGGAGGCCTCCTGGAGGCCTGGAGAGCCGTCGGAAGGGTGTCGCGGGCTGCGCGGGAGCGTGTTGGGCCGTTCTCTCTGTTCTGGGGGCTCCTTGGGGTCGTCATGGGCTGTCCTTCGGCGAGTTGGGGTCTCCCCCCCACGGGCAGCTGGGAGGCGCGGTACCGGCCAGATGTCAGGGGATGTGCAGGACCCCCGAGTAGGAGTCCCACTTTGAAAAAAAGGTGTTTTTATTGGAATTCCTTTTTTTCAAAATCCTCGATCTTCGAGGGTTGGAAGCGGGAAAACGTGAGAAGGCGAAAAACATTAGAAACACCATGGGACATCAACGATTTTGCCCTCTTTGGGCTCTCTCGGGACGGCTCTCGCAGCTCTCTTGGGCTGTTCTCGGAGCCTCGCCGGGGTCTTTCTGGGGCCTCTCAGGGATCGGGGGTGTGTTGGGGGCCTCTGGGTGGTCCCTGAGGCCTTTCGGAGGTCTCTGGAAGCCTCCTGCTCCCGATCTTGACCCCATCTTGGGCCTGTTCTGGGGTGGTCTGGGGTTGTCCTGGGAGCCTCTTCGGCAGTCTTGGAGCCTTCTTGGCCCGTCTTGGGGCCGTCCTGAGGGTCTCTTGGGTGGTCTTGGGGCGGTCTTGGGAGCCTCGTCGGCGCTCTTGGACCGTTGGAAGCTCGAAAACGCGAGAAGCCAAAAACATCGAGAACAAAACACCAATGAACATCTACGATTTTGGCCTCTTCGGGCCGTCCTGGGACGCCTCTCGGACCTCTCTTGGAGGTTACCTGGGAGCCGCGAGAGCCGTCGGAAGGCTGACTTGGGCTGCTTGGGAGCGTTTTGGACCATCCTTTCGCATTCTGGGGGCTCCTGGGAGGCGTCTCGGGCCTTCCTTGAGCGCTGTGGAGACCCCCCGGAACGCCCGGGGGAGCGGTACCGGGAGCGTTCCCGAGATGTCATGGGGAGGTGTGGCACCTGGGGCCGGGGGGGGCTCTATTGTTGGTGCCTCTTGGGGCGTCTTTGGGGCCTCTTATGGTGTTTTTTCGGGTCTCATGGGAGCCTCTTTGGGAGTGGGCGCTTCTTGGAGCCTCTTGGGGTCTGCTGGGGGCCTCTTGGGCCAAAACGCTTGAATCTTCAGTTCCTCGTCCCCGTCTTGGGCGCCGACTCGGGGCGTTCTTAGGCGGTTTGGGCGCCTCGGGGGCCGTCTTGTCCTCCTCGTGGGCCGTATTGGACCCCCCTTGGAGGCATCCTCGACCAGCTTGGGTGCCTCTTGGGCCGTCTTGGACGCAGTGGAAGCCCAAAAGGCGAACACGCCAAAAATATCAGTTTTCCCAATCGGAAATCTAAGATTCTTGCTTATTGGGGCTCTATTGGAATGCCCCTTGGGGCGTGTTCGGGGGCTCTTTTTCCCAACCATCCTGTGGTGTTGGGTCCTCGTTTTGAAGAGACGGTCCCCGGGTCCCTCCTCCTCCTCCTCCTCCTCCTCCTCCTCCTCCTCCTCCTCTCCTCCTCCTCCTCTCCTCCTCCTCCTCGTCCTCCTCCCCCTCCCTCCTCCCCCTCCTCCCTCCTCCCTGCGTTTCACCCACCCAGTACAACGCTTCGTGGCCCCATAGGGAGCTCCACCGAAGGTCCCAGTGGCACCGCCCGCATGCGTCAGCCACGACCCCGTAGCTCCCCGCGTTTCACCCACTTCGTGCAGCGCTTCGTGGCCCCATAACGGGGTTCCACCGAAGGTCCGAGTGGCACCGCCCGCATGCGTCAGCCACCACCCAGCACAGCCTTTGCACCCTGCGTTTCACCCACCCAAAACACCGCTTCGTGGCCCCATAACGGGGTTCCACCGAAGGTCCCAATGGGACCGCCCGCATGCGTCAGCCACCACCCAGCACAGCCCTCTTCCTTGCGTTTCACCCACCCGGTACGGCGCTTCGTGGCCCCATGGGGAGTTCCACCGAAGGTCCCAGTGGCACCGCCCGCATGCGTCAGCCACCACCCAGCACAGCCATTGCACCCTGCGTTTCACCAACCCAGTACGGCGCTTCGTGGCCTCATAGGGACCTCCACCGAAGGTCCCAGTGGGACCGCCCGCATGCGTCAACCACCACCCAGCACAGCATTTTTTCTTTGCGTTTCACCCACCCAAAGTACAGCGTTTCGTGGCCCCATAGGGAGCTCCGCCGAATCCCGTTGTGGGACCGCCCGCAGGCGTCAGCCACCACCCAGCACAGCCCTTGCCCTCCGCGCTTCAGCCACCCAGTACAACGCTTCGTGGCCCCAGAGGCAACCCCACAGAAGGTTCCAGTGGGGCCGCCCGCATGCGTCAACCACCACCCAGCACAGCCTTTCCTCCCTGCGCTTCACCCACCCAGTAAAACGCTTCGTAGCCACAGAGGGAGCTCCACCCAAGGTCCTAATGGGACCGCCCGCGTGCGCCAACCACCACCCAGCACAGCCCTTGCTCCCTGCGTTTCACCCACCCAGTACAGCGCTTCGTGGCCCCATAACGGGGTTCCACCGAAGGTCCCAATGGGACCGCCCGCATGCGTCAGCCACCACCCAGCACAACCGTTCTTCGTGCGTTCCACCCACCCGGTACAGCGCTTCGTGGCCCCAGAGGGAGCCCCACCGAAGGTCCCAGTGGGACCGCCCGCATGCGTCAATCACCACCCAGCACAGCCCTTTTCCTTGCGTTTCACCCACCCAGTACGGCGCTTCGTGGCCCCATAAGGAGCTCCACCGAATCCCGTTGTGGGACCGCCCGCATGCGTCAGCCACCACCCAGCACAGCCCTTGGCCTCCGCGCTTCAGCCACCCAGTACAACGCTTCGTGGCCCCAGAGGCAACCCCACCGAAGGTCCCAATGGGACCGCCCGCATGCGTCAGCCACCACCCAGCACAGCCCTCTTCCTTGCGCTTCACCCACCCAGTACAGCGCTTCGTGGCTCCATAGGAAGTTCCACCGAAGGTCCCAGTGGGACCGCCCGCAGGCGTCAGCCACCACCCAGCACAGCCGCTCCTCCATGCGTTTCACCAACCCAGTACAGCACTTCGTGGCCCCATCGGGAGGTCCACTGAGGGCTCTACTGGCATCGCCCGCGTGCGTCAGCCACCACCCAGCGCAGCGCTTCGTGGCCCCATAGGGGGCCCCACCGAAGGTCCCAGTGGGACCGTCCGCATGCGTCAGCTACCACCCAGTACAGCGCTTCGTGGCCCCATAGGGAGTTCCACCGAAGGTCCCAGTGGGACCGCCCGCAGGCGTCAGCCACCACCCAGCACAGCCGTTGCTCCCTGCGTTTCACCAACCCAGTACAGCACTTCGTGGCCGCATCGGGAGGTCCACTGAGGGCTCTACTGGCATCGCCCGCGTGCGTCAGCCACCACCCAGCGCAGCGCTTCGTGGCCCCATAGAGGGCCCCACCGAAGGTCCCAGTGGGACCGTCCGCATGCGTCAGCTACCACCCAGTACAGGGCTTCGTGGCCCTATAGGGGACTCCACCGATGGTCCCCGTGGGACCGCCCGCACGCGTCAGCCACCGCCCAGTACAGCGCTTCGTGGCCCCATAGGGGACCCCACTGATGGTCCCAATGGGACCGCCCGCAGGCGCCAGCCACCACCCAATACATCGCTTCGTGGCCCCATAGGGAGCTCCACAAAAAGACCCCGTCTGCACCGCCCAATACTCCACCACCCAGCACTCCCCGTGCGTCGTCCACCACCCAGTACTCCATTTCGTGGTCACATGGATGGGGAGATCCACCAAGCCCCACTGGCACCGCCCGCATGCGTCAGCCACCACCTAGCACAGCGTTTCGTGACCACGTAAGGAGCTCCAGTGGTCCGCCCGCATGCGACCCCCCACCAGGTACAGCGTTCCGTGGGCCCATAGGGAGCTCTACCGAAGGCCCCAGTGGCACCGCCCGCATGCGCCCCCCCTCCCAGTACAGCGCTTCGTGGCCCCATATGGGGGGCCCCCGAAGCCCCCACTGGCACGCATACGTCGGCCACTATCCAGTACAGCGTTTCGTGGCCCCGCAGGGAGCTCCACAGAAAAACCCCAATGGCACAGCCCGCGTGCATCTCCCCCAACCAGTACAGCGTTCCGTGGCCTCATCGGGAGTTCCAGCGAAGGGTACCACCCGCCTGCGTCCGCCACGCCCAGTACAGCGTCTCGTGGCCCATAGGGAGCCCCACCGGATGCCCCAGTGACACCGCCCGCATGCGTCTCCCCCACCCATTACGGCACGTCCCTCACGCGCTTCGTGGCCCTATAGGAAGCTCCACCGCAAGCGGCACGCACCACGCGTTACTCACAACTGCATATGGTTGGGTCCTTCGCCAGGATAATTGTGTTTTTGCGGGTCTCTTGGGGGCCTCTGGGGCTTCTTGGGCGCTTCTTGGAGCCTCTTGGGATCTCCTGGGGGTCTATTGGGCCAAATGGCTCGCATGTTCGATTCCTCGTCCAAATCGACGATTCTTGCTTATTGGGCCTCTCCCGGGGTACCTCTTGGGGCGTCTTCGGGGCCTTCGGCGGCCTCCTTAGCGTCATGGGAGTCGTCTTGGCAGGCGTCTGGAGCCATCGCTGCGGCCTCCTGGGGCCCCCCTGCAGCCTCTTGGGGCCCTGTTGGCCCTGGGTCGCCGAAACCCTGAACAAAAAAACACGGGGAAAACGACGCCTTGGCCCCACATTTGTGGTCGTGGTCCCGGCCCCCGGCCCCCGGACCCGGTCCCCCGTTCTATGCACACACACACACACACGTTGTGCCACATGGCGTGCGGGCCTCACCCTCGGAGCCGCCCCGTTCACGGCGCAATCGAGGTGCTTGATTGTGGCTGGCTGGTGGGCGGCGGTGGGGCCATCATTGGCTCCAACCCTTGAGGAGGGGGAGAGGGACCATGGAACACGTATTTCGCTCGCCGTCCCTCCGGCCCGCCCTCTCTCCAAATGGGCATTGGATGCCGAGTTTTGTCCCGCCCTTCCCGTCCTGGTCAGCCTTTTTCTAGGGCTCCCAACTTCGCGCTTCGCGCCCCGCGAAGCGCGAATAACTTCGCGCTCTCGCGCCGCCCCCCCAAAGGGAGAAAAGGAGGACGAGGAGGAGGAGGGAGGAGGGGGAGAAGGAACGAGGACCGCGAAGCGCGAAGCGCGAATAACTTCGCGCCCTCGTGGGAGCCCTTACTTTTTCTTGTGCCCATCCAGCACAGGCCCCCTGGCCGCCTCCAAGTGCCTGGCCTGTCCCAGTCGTTGACTTGGGGCTCCCCGCGTCTGCCGCTTGGGGGCGCGGGCAAATGGGGCATTCGGCGTGCTGCTCGGGGGGTCGGGCAGCTGTCCACGGGCTCGGGGAGGGGGAGAGGCACGAGGGAAGGGATGGGGGGGAGAAGGAGGAAGAGGCAGGAGAAGAAGGATGACGACAAATGGAGGAGAGCAGGAGGAGGAGTGGGAGGAGGAGGAGGAGTGCGAGGAGGAGGAGGAAGAGCAGGAGGAGGAGGAGGAGGAGGCGAACAATGAGGGACTCAGGGGGAAAAGAAGGAGGAAGGCGACGGAGAGAGATGCGCAGGAGGAAAGGGGCGGAAGAGAAACTATGAGGCAGGAGGGATGAGGAACGCATTCCACAGAGCATGGTAGTACCAGTAGTATAGAGCATTCACCCTCTGGAAGAGTGCAAGACGCTGATACATCATTCTTGCGCTATTCGCGTGTGACCGAATGGAGCGACATTTAGACCTTTCTACTGTTCTCAACTGTGGGGCTGTCGTTTGGCGGAGGCCAAAAGATGTGTTAACTTCGACAGCGGCCTTGCGAGGCGGTGAGCAGGCACAAGGACCGAGGAAACACCAGCGCTTCTGGACCGCGGGTGGGCGGAAGGGAAAGCGCTCTCCCACGTCATGGGTGGGAGAGTACGAGAGTGCCCTCCCACTTGCCTACCATCCGATGCGTTCCGACGCATGGGTGGGGCAGTCGGAGAGAGCTGTTCTGCTCGTCTGCTCTCCGACTCGTTTGAAACCATAGGTGGGGGAGCAGGAGAGCGTTCTCCTACCTACGTCCCTACTCGTTGTGAGCCATGCGTGGGGCAATCGGAGAGTGTTGTCCTACCCGCCTGCTCCTCTACGCGGTTCCGAACGATGGGCGGGGGCATAGGATGGCGTACGGTGGACTGCGTCTTACCTGGAGCTGTGGACTGTGGCCTGCGCTCCTACTGCCGTCCGTGTCATCTACTCGGCAGTAGGCTACATCCCAGAATGGGACATGCACTGTGGATGGCGCGCCGCGCCGCCGTACATTTTTAAACCTAGAATGATGGACTGGGCACTGAGCATTACGTTGTCGCTGATGCTGTGCGCAATGCCTCCTCGGCGCTCATCCGCCTGCATCTGTTATCACTCCCCCTTATCCCTCTTCAGCTGCTCCTCCCATCCCACCTCCATCTTCATACTCCCTTTCTGTGTCCTCATCCGCTCTTCCTCATCCTTTCTCCAGAGCCCTGGGGAACGCAACTTGCTGGTAATGATTAGTTCGCCTATGTGCTCTTTGACGCGCCATCTCCAACGTCATATATTTCGCATTTATCGTCCTCACCAGGCTGTCCTCCTCGACGCTGTTCCTCGTACACCTCCACCGTGTCATCGTATCGTTTCCCGTAGCTGTCATAGGACCACATGATCTTAGTAATTCGAATGTTTCGTGAAAGCAAAAGCAGTGTGCATCCACCACCAGGTCGATACCCTGTGTAGCCGCATGACAGAATGACTCCTGTCTTAGGGGAGCTTCCAACAAGGATTCCTCTTTGGCGGTCCTGCACAAGGATTCTCATTGTTGGTCTTACAGCAAGGTTACTGTGGAGGGCCTATCAATAGGAAGCCAACCAAAGAAGGCAACAACCACGAACACTTGCAACACCTGTCCAATGAATGAAACGTGTGTGTGGGGGGTCAGTGTTTTGGCGTCGGCGGCTGGAAAGATGAAGACCATGGTTTACACAACCACGCATCAAGCATCTTTGGCTTTGTGTTTGATGTGTGAAACGATACGCGGAGGGGGCGCGCCCCCTTATAAGGGTCGTCGAGGGGAGAGGAGACTAGTTTTTATAGTGAATGGTTGTCGAAGTGGGGGGGAAGAGAGAGAGAGAGAGAGAGAACAAGAGAACAAGAGAAAGAGAAAAAGAGAGAGAGAGAGAGAGAGGGGGGGGGAAGGAGGGGGGGAGGGGGGAGGTGGGGGGGGGAGAGGAGGGGGATGGGGGGGGACGGGGGAGGAGTAGAAGGGGCGAGGAGGGGGCGGGGAGAGGAGGGGGAGTGGAGAGGGGGGCGGGGGAGAAACCGATTAGGCGCAAACACGGCTCAGGGGCACGCCGACAGCCGCCGCCAGCATCCCGCTGGACGCCGCCCCCGCCCTCGGACTTGCCGAGATCGTGGTTCAACATCTCCCTAACCAGGAAAACCCAGCTGACCACAAGCAACTCTGCCAAGCCGAAACCACTAGCACGGATCAGCGACACACGGTCGAGCGGATGAGCGAGAGCCGCCGAGCCATGGCAGCTCCCAGCATTCTCAGGAAGTGCCCCTGCGCCACAGTCAAAGTCACGCTCAAAAAGCCCAACGAATGTCCACAAAATCTTTGAACTCGACGTCGCCGAAGGCGCCAACGAGGATCTCCCAATCCATACGACGAGTGGCCCACATGCTGAGGCAAGGCAGAGAGGTCCATAACAACAGGCAAACCGACCTCGGCAGCAGGAAGCGCACCAGAGCCACTGGGAGTCGCACTGGGGATCCGAGAAGGAACAAGAACAGACCAACAAGATTGACACGCCCGCAGCGGCATACCCATCATGTGGGAGACCACCGCTACGACCACTGCTTCTAGCACCAACGAAAGCCCGAGTGGCACCGCAACGCCGCTGTCCAAGTACGACCATGTGTACATACAACTCCCGAGCCTTGAACACAGCACTCTCCAGAAACTTTTAGCGTCGGCGGCTAGGCAGAGGGTGACTGCGCTGGCGATGAAAGGCAAAAACGGGGGTTCCGTTGGAACGAAGTGGGCCAGCATGCAAGAGTCGGGTCGGGCGAAAGGGGGGGTAGCAAAGCGGGGGTTTGAGAATCAACTCACGCAGCTGATTTTCCCGGCGCCTCCTGGCGCCAGAGGCGGCTGTGTATCGAGGAATGGGCCCCTCGATGAGGCTGAAACCAGCTGCATGCAGCAAATTTCGTAGCCCCCCCTTTCCCAATCCCCCCCTTTCGTCCGGCCCGAAAGAGGAGAGGGGAGGACGGAGAAGGGACGCGGCCGAAGGAAAACAAGGACGGGGCGGGCGGCCCAGGGGTCAGACCGCTCCCCGACTTCTCCCAGACACACAGGTGCCCCGAGGCTCTAAAAACCAAGCTGCCGACGCGAGGCGCTTGCGCAAGAGCCCCAACACCTGGGGGGGAAGTCCGCGGAAGACGTCGCGGCTGCATGCTCCGCACCGCCTTTCAACACCGTGCCGCCCGCCCGGACCTCCTTCCCCGACGCCGCGGCGCGCGCCGCGGGGCACGAAGCAGGCGCGCGCGCCGCGGGGCACGACGAGGCTGCGGCTCGGACGCCCGCGGCCACGTCCCTCCGCAAATCGCCATCGTCGCTGCTGGCCTGGCCGGCCAGGTCGGCGCGAGGCACCGCTGCCGTCAGCCCCAGCCCCCCAACAGGGCCTCCACGGCGGAGGGGAGGCAGTTGCGGGACTGCTGGGCCTCCTCGAGCTCCTTCTGCAGGCGCTGGGTGGCTCGGTCAGCCGGCCACCTCGCACGTCTGCTTTTCCGCTCGGCAGCAGGAAGCCAGGGGCGCCCGCCATCGACGCCCATCCCGCAGCCACCACTCCTCCCCCAGCGGTGTCAAGCAGACAGCAGGCAGCCTGGGCCGCGGCGCCAGGTAGCCGACATGCCCACTCGAGCCAAGATGGGTGGGGACATCCGGAGCCAAAATGGCTACGGAAGGATGAGGACTGACGAGGGAAGGGATGAGGCGGAGGATGCGAAAGGAGGCGGACGATGTCAACTAGAGGGCGATGCGGAGAGATTGACGGAAAAGCCACAAGAGGCACTATTGCAATGAAGATAAGTCTGGCATGAGTACTTACCACTGCTGATGGCGGGTGGGGGATCCCGCGGCAGTCCCTGCCGCTTCCTTGACATCCGACGTCATGAAAAATGCAACCTCGCAAAAAAAACTATACCAGAGCACCAGGCCCCATACTCTGTCTGTGAGGGCCCCGTGGCCCGAAGCAAGGCAGCGTCGCCCGTTGAGAACAAAAACTGCGGCGCCAGCATCTCAGAGGTTGCCGTTGGTCTTGCCTCGGAGCTGCTCGCGGCGTGCCCCCCCGACCCCCCAGGGCGATCCCAAGACGACCGCCCGGCGACCCTGTTCGACAAATGCGTGGGGTTGCTCCCTGCAGGGTCTCAAGCGAGCAGGTCCCCGCAAAGCACCACCGGTGCGGCAAAGCCAGGGTAGCCAACGTCAACCTGAGACTTCAGTTGCTCACATCGTACTTAGGGACCACATCCCAAAAATAATTTCGAGCACCCGGAAAGGTGTCGAAAGAAGGTCGAAACAGTGTCGAAGCAGTGTCGGACGAGCGTCTCCCAGGGCCCGACGCGTGAAAACCCTCGAGTTTCGGTACTTCTTTGGTGCTCAAAATTCATTATGGTGATCAAGTCTGAAGAAGGTTGGAACATCATAACCTCAGACTCCTTCAGGGGATACAGTTGGCACAGATGGCAGGAAGTCTTCTAGGAGTCAATCCAGGGGTAATGACACGCTTCGTCGACCCTGAGGTTCGCAATGCCCCCCCAGGGCTGCACGCTGCACGAGCCTATCGGGAGATAAGAAGCTCAATATCGAGGGGCTCCCGTTAGCAGGCCATTTTCTTACATGGTGTGCCTGCTGTGCTGGGGCGTATCCTGTGGAGATCAGCGTTCGCACGTGAACGGCTACAAGATGCGGGTCCTACGCGAGAGGACAGCGACCTTACGCCGTGGCTTACACGGACTGCGAGCGTAACCCAATCGAGTGGAGAAGAGGGCGCTCACGCGCGACCTTCCGCGGGAAGCTTGCGCGCGAATGTCCGCGCAGTACACCCTATTTGCTTCCGTCGCCCACATGCTTTCTCTCATTTGTGGGTGCCAGTGAACACGTTGCTGGCCTGCGCCGCTGGTTCTTTCGGGCCCAGGCGGGAGGCATACGCGGGATCGTAAGGATGCTAGGCTCCCTCACGCCTGGTGCTGCTGGTGTGCCTCACGCCAGAAGGAGGACGAGACTGATGCCACGATGGGATCTCTGACATGCCCGCGACAAGAAATTGTTGGCACTTTTCGGCCCCTGGGGGCCGTCGCCAGGCCCCGGGACCGTCACAGAACGATCAGGGATGAAACAACGGGGCCTGGGGAAGGGTCGGGACTTCCAGGGGCCCTGGATTGAGAAGATCAGGGCATCGCTGCCGTGGATTGGCTTAGGATGCGCTCTAAAATGTTCCAGAGTATCTAGCGGCCCTCGTTTCTGGAGCCAGTGCGGACCAACAGGACATCGTGGGAATGTTGGAACGTATCATTATCATGGCATCCTCCACCTCTGAAGAAGGCCTGGTCTGCAGTGATAAATTTTCCAAACTGTTGCCGCACGCTCCCTTGCTTAAGGCACCTCGCAAGAGGGCCTGGCACTATGAGAGAATCGCACAGGCATTGCCTGAGACTCGAACCTTGTTCGGATTGGAGCTGGGTAGAAATGTCAGCGCAGGCCGGCCTCGAACCGCAGAAGCAGAACGCCAGTCCCGAACCTCGGAGCCAGCAAGGCCAGGTGCACGCTCCTTGTGGGCGCAGTCTGTCCGAGCCCTCGCGGATACGGGAGGCCTCCTAGATGGAGTCCGAGTAGATGTTGTCGGAGGATCGCGCCGCATCGCCAAGGCGCCGGCGATGCGTCGGCGCAATCGGCGTGGAGAACATCTGGCTTGCCGATTCATCGGCGATGCTGCGCGATCCTGCGCCCCCACCTACTCGGACCCAACCTGGGAGGCCTATAGAGTTATGGCTGTAACACGCATGTGCCTGGACACTGCCAAAAACGTGCGGCCCGGCTCCCGCCGGCTCAAGAATCTCTTATTGAATTAGTTGGTCTGCAGCAGAAGCCCACGGCCTCGCTTGGCCAGGTGCCTCCAAGCAGCCGTGGGGCCAGCTCAGCTGCTGCCGGCGAGCTCCTGGATGTACGTGATGTCGTCCCACGGGTGGCGGTACAGCGGCTGCTTCAGGCGCAGCTGATCCAAGTAGTGGCCCATGAAGCCGATGGAGCGGCCGAGCACGAAGAGCCCGTTCAGGCAGCCGAAGCTCATCAGCTCGTCGCACTCCTCCCTCGAGAAGGCGCCACAGGACCTGATCATGTCTACGAAGGAGACGGCGATGCAGCCGTCGACGTTCAGGATAAGGTTGGCGCGCTTCCGCGTCGTGATCTGCTCCACCGCCAGCGCGAAGTCCAGGATCGGGGTCGACTTGAAGTGCTTCTTCGCGTACTCCTTGATCAGGACCACGCGCATGTCCGGGTTGGCCAGGGACTTGATGCGGTGCCCGATGCCCATGACGAGCTGGTTGTTCTTCTTGCACCTGCAGACGAGCACTAAACATGAGCATAAACGTTCGAAGCTCCGCGCGGGTTTCTCGGATTGGCGCTGGGCCCCCCTCTCTCTGGCGCGCGGAGCGCGCCAGGGGCGGCGCCAGATGCGCCGCCAGGGCGGGCCATCGCGGACCCCAAAAATCTGGGCGGAGCTCCGCACTTGTGCTGTTACGCGATGTTTTCTTCTTCGAACCTGTCGATGAAGTCCTTCGGGGTGACGCCGCTGTCGTATGCCTCGCTGAACATCTTCGCGGCATCGTCGAGGGCCCCGCCGAAGCGCGGGCCGATGGTGAGCAGGCCGCTGCAGAGGGCCGACACCAGGTCCTCCCCCCTCACCCCACTGCCCCCTCCCCCTGCCTGTCCCACCCCTCCTCCTCCTCCTCCTCCTCTTCCTCCTCCTCCTCCTCCTCCTCCTCCTCCTCCTCCTCTTCCTCAAATGCTTCGTGGCCGTTGGCGCACTGCGCGACGGACTCCTTCAGGCTGCGCACTCCTCCTCAAATGCTGGGCCTTCCATGAGCTCCTGGCGTCGCCTTCTTACATCGGGCGATCTTGCACTGCTTCGGACTCCTGGGACCCTGATGGATCAGTCTGGCTCGAAAGATGCTGCAGAAAGATGTGGTACAGGGCTCCAGTTGAGTTTTTGTTTCACGATGTTGCACTTTTCGTGACGTTGGATCTCAGGGTCTTTCACCTCCTCCTCCTCCTCCTCCTCCTCCTCCTCCTCCTCCTCCTCCTCCCCCTCCTCCTCCTCTTCCTCCTCGCGGAATCTTGGGCCTCACTGAGGCCTCAATGTTGTGCGCTCTGCGTCGAATGCGTGGGCCTCTCTGCTGACGTGCTGGCCCTCTTCTCACTCCTCGGGCACGCACCCGCCCGCGTCAGCAGAAACCCTCTCTGTCGACAGGTTGGCCCTCTTCTCACTCGTCGGGCACGCCCTGGCCCGGGGCAGCAGGGGCCCTGCTCGGCCAAAGGGCCCCGTCGCCGAGCCCCCCAGATTCCTGGGCCGGCGGAGGGCGCAAGGAGGGAGGCTCGGCCTCGCGTGGCTCCCAGAGATCGGCCTCCAAAGACGGCCCACGCGGCCCCCGAGAGGCCCCCCATGAGGGCCCCCGAGAAGCTTTCAGGGAGCTCCCAGGCGGCCCCCAGGAAGCCCTAAGAAGGCCCCGAGAAGCCTTCTCCTCCTTCTCCTCCTCCTCCTCCTCCTCCTCCTCCTCCTCCTCCTCCCTACCGCGCGGACGAAGACGAGCTCGGGATCACGACCCGCCCCAATGCAGACCACTCGTCGGAATTACGCCGTTCCTAAACTCAATGTCCTTCCTGCTGCGCTATTGCAAAGACACGGTGGCGGGTTTGCCGCAGGCAGCTGGATCGTCAACCCACCTTAGCATCCACTTCTACCTTCCCATCCCCTTAGCAACCGAGACGGTCATCTCAGTGGGCCCCCAGTTCCGGTCCTTGCCCGCGCGCGCGGTCACGATGGTGTTGTGCGCGCCGCTGACGGCGGGGCCGTGGTCGGCGGTGACCATGAGGATCATCTCGATGGCCAGGCAGTGCCAAGGGGGGGGGGGCGCCACGAATCGCGAGGCTCAGGCCCCCTCGTGTCCTGGAAGAGTCGCGACGGACTGCTTTTCGTAGTTCTTCGGTCTCCAGGGGCCCTCGCTGGGCCCCGGGACCATGAAAGAGCGACTCAGGATTCGGCGGCGAGCGAGGGGTGGGAAGTGAGAAGGGGAAGGCCTTCTCAGAAGGCTGCGGGACTTCTCAGAAGGGGGGGCCTCTTTTAGAAGGCAGGGGCCTTCTCGGCGCTCTGTTTGGGCCATGTTGACCTAGGGCAGAAGAACATCCTTGAATAATATGAAACCCTCCGCCAGCCAAGACACCCCAAGCCATAAGATCACTCGAGGGTGCCCTCCCCCAGGACGCACAAAAACATCCAACAATCACGAAACACATGGGGGGGCACCCTCCCCGAACCGACCTCGATCTTATACCTTGGTCCAACCGTACGGCTTCTGAGAAGCTGGGAGGACTTCTTAGAAGCCACCCGCCTTCTTCTTAGAAGCCCCCCCTCTTGAAGGGCGGTCCCCCTCGTACCCCCCCCCCTTGCGCGCGCCGCCATGCTGAGGGGGTCGCCAGTCCCATCAGCCCTTCAGGGGCAGATGGTCTAGAGCGCTTCCTCTTCAACTGTCCTTCTTCCGCTTCGGG